GGCGATCGAGCTGCCTGTCCTCAATTACGTTACTTAGGCTGAGGAGACTTGGAGCTACAATGTCTCATTGCACCCTGGGACCATCGTTACACGTCGCTCTTCCGGCGATCGAGCTGCCTGTCCTCAATTACGTTACTTAGGCTGAGGAGACTTGGAGCTACAATGTCTCATTGCACCCTGGGACCATCGTTACACGTCGCTCTTCCGGCGATCGAGCTGCCTGTCCTCAATTACATTACTTAGGCTGAGGAGACTTGGAGCTACAATGTCTCATTGCACCCTGGGACCATCGTTACACGTCGCTCTTCCGGCGATCGAGCTGCCTGTCCTCAATTACGTTACTTAGGCTGAGGAGACTTGGAGCTACAATGTCTCATTGCACCCTGGGACCATCGTTACGCGTCGCTCTTCCGGCGATCGAGCTGCCTGTCCTCAATTACGTTACTTACGCTGAGGAGACTTGGAGCTACAATGTCTCATTGCACCCTGGGACCATCGTTACGCGTCGCTCTTCCGGCGATCGAGCTGCCTGTCCTCAATTACGTTACTTACGCTGAGGAGACTTGGAGCTACAATGTCTCATTGCACCCTGGGACCATCGTTACGCGTCGCTCTTCCGGCGATCGAGCTGCCTGTCCTCAATTACGTTACTTAGGCTGAGGAGACTTGGAGCTACAATGTCTCATTGCACCCTGGGACCATCGTTCTCGCGTCGCTCTTCCGGCGATCGAGCTGCCTGTCCTCAATTACGTTACTTACGCTGAGGAGACTTGGAGCTACAATGTCTCATTGCACCCTGGGACCATCGTTACGCGTCGCTCTTCCGGCGATCGAGCTGCCTGTCCTCAATTACGTTACTTACGCTGAGGAGACTTGGAGCTACAATGTCTCATTGCACCCTGGGACCATCGTTCTCGCGTCGCTCTTCCGGCGATCGAGCTGCCTGTCCTCAATTACGTTACTTACGCTGAGGAGACTTGGAGCTACAATGTCTCATTGCACCCTGGGACCATCGTTACGCGTCGCTCTTCCGGCGATCGAGCTGCCTGTCCTCAATTACGTTACTTACGCTGAGGAGACTTGGAGCTACAATGTCTCATTGCACCCTGGGACCATCGTTACGCGTCATTGCCAAAGCTACTAGTCCACAGACGACGGAATCGTTGAAACGTTATGCTACTATTTCTCATGGAACTGTGGGGCCATCCAATCGTTACGCTTCACTGTCATAAAAACAAAGACCAATAAAAGTTACTAAAATTACTGTATATTTCGAAAGAACCTGGATACTATCGAACCTTCTCGCTAAAAATAGAAATATAGTCAAACACTATATTGGGACATGTAGAACCTAAAAATGATCCACGACTCACAACTGGTGATATCGATTGTCAAAATATGGTTTATAAAGCAAATCGTGCAATATAATAAGAAGAAAGATCATTCAGTTATAAATACAACTATTAACATTTGTATTATGTGTTCAGTGTGAAGCACAATACTGTACAGGCTCGTTTTGCAAGTCGAGACGACATTCAGACGGCGAACGTGGAATGTCGTATCCTGAGTCTTGACAGAGAAATGGTACAAGAAATAAAAGCAGCCGTCAGGTGACACCCGACTCCTACAAATCTCACTTTACTATCGGCGTTTATGGTCGTATTTCGCCCACAATATACGGCCCTTAGGTTTACTGCTTCATATCACCTACAGTGCCTACAAAATATCCTCCTCGTCCTCAGTCGTCTCGTCCGACTTGACCTTTTATTCCGGGTTATCTCATGTCCTGTTTATGGTCGGCTTATGTTTACATTTATTGTTTATTTTCTTTTTGTTGTTTTACTGCTTTCCCATTGTTCACTACACATTGTAATTTACTGTCGGTCGAGGGCTTTGGTTATTTTACAAATAACTCTGCGGTGGCTGTTATTATTAGTTTACAGGAAAATATGTGTGTTAATTAATTAAATCTCATCATGTATACAATTCATAATTTTTTAAGCATTTTACATGCTCTGTTTATTAAACACAGCTAATTTTTTTGAGGAATTGAATGCAGGCAACAAGTACGACTCAATATATTGTGTATGTTTGAATATAACTACTTCCTTATAGTATACAATTCAAGTGGATTGAGCGGAAACTAACCTGTAGTGATTTCAATACAATTGTAGACCTACAGTAATTCGCTATTGCGACGTCTTGGCACTACAAGCACAAGCGAGAGTGAGTGAATCGTACAACATTCCTGTGGAGTTCGTGACCAGTCCGCAATTCTCTACACACTTCTATTGATTTAATTACGGGCAATAATTAACCGCGTCACGTCATTAGGAGAAACTCGAACCATTTGTAGAGCATAATTAAACAGACCCATTGCTGGGCGCCTTGCCCGGTGACTAGGGTATTGTATAGCTAAGGTGTACAAATAGTAGTCTTCTGGGTCTCTGATGTCGGTCTTCTGCGACGAAGGTTTTCAGAAGGGTTTCTATAGAAGGGCGACAACAATATCGTTAACCCAAAGTGTAAAGCGAGTTATAAACAGAGTCCAAGCAAAGAGGCTACAACAAGAAATACCATACCAGGGTGTACAGCGTTTACCGCATGAGATATACAGTAGCGAGGAATATACAGAGATATCAGACTGAGAAGTTCTACAGCAAGGCATATACAAAGATCTCAGACTGAGAAGTTCTACAGCAAGGCATATACAAAGATCTCAGACTGAGAAGTTCTACAGCAAGGTCTATACAAAGATCTCAGACTGAGAAGTTCTACAGCAAGGTCTATACAAAGATCTCATACTGAGAAGTTCTACAGCAGGGTCTATACAAAGATCTCAGACTGAGAAGTTCTACAGCAGAGTCCATACAAAGATCTTAGACTGAGAAGTTCTACAGCAGGGTCCATACAAAGATCTCAGACTGAGAAGTTCTACAGCATGGTCTATACAAAGATCTCAGACTGAGAAGTTCTACAGCAGGGTCTATACAAAGATCTTAGACTGAGAAGTTCTACAGCAGGGTCCATACAAAGATCTTAGACTGAGAAGTTCTACAGCAGGGTCTACACAAAGATCTCAGACTGAGAAGTTCTACAGCAGGGTCCATACAAAGATCTTAGACTGAGAAGTTCTACAGCAGGGTCTATACAAAGATCTCAGACAGAGAAGTTCTACAGAAAGGTCTATACAAAGGGTCTAGCGTGCCGAGAGCCGACACGCCGACGTAGAGTGGACGCCTACACTGGCCCCTCGGCCCGCGAGCGAAGCCGCGTTTATAATAAATTCAAACATTAATCCATAACCGCCTTAATAGCGGCTCCACCTTTCCTTGCCCTCGTTATTTTGTTTTTATTAACTCGGTGCGGAGCGCGCGCCGGCCGCTCGGCCATTACGGCCGCACCGAACATGGCAGAGCAAAACAAAATCGACCCCTGGCGAAAACAGATTACTATCTGGTTTTTTCGACGGCGGCTCTCCCAGGCTTAAGTTTCTATTGCATAGATAAGCATCTCGTTTACTCCGCTGACGCTCGAGACGTATGAGCGCCATCTTGAGGAGCTTCGTTAACAGCATTCCATCGACATCCGCACGCCGCACGCCGCACCGAGCTGGCAAATTGTGAAGTCTTTATTTCTCCTATCGACCATTTGTTAATGATTTATGTAACCTTCGAGTCAATCGTTATTCGGCCGAAAATAGTTTACAGACGGTTCGGTGTAATTTGTAAACAGTGTGAGATACCTCGGATGGAAACAAAGTAGTGACTTATTTATTTTCATTTAAAAAAATAATATATAATATGTGTGCGATGGTGATGAAAGTGTTAAGGCTAGGAATCTGTCGCTCTTTTGTCTTGATTAGTAAATACGTTATTAATTTGAGAAAAATGAACAAACTATAGCTGACTTTGCATCATTTCTCCTGATATTATGTAGAGTAGTGTATACTGTGGGTGTCCACTGGCCAGGTGTCAGTATCGGGTCGGAAGTAAACACAAGCCGTGAGTCAGAACACACAAGGGCGACCCTCCATTACTGCTATATTGATAGATCGACTCCCGCGCCCCGCGCCGTGCAATCTACTAATACACCTCCCCGCATGCATATTTTACAGTCTATCTTTTAGCTACTTCGTATGCGGGTACCTTAAACGTTGTCAGTTGCCGCGGTCTGCGCTCACAACTTACAGGAATACGTGTTTGCCATTCAACTCATTTGGCGGCTCAACTATCGTAAAAGGCAAAAATAACCCCTATCGCTTAGGAAGCATTACTTGGGGAAATATGTGTTACTAAGAATTTTTCATTGCTTTTGTTGAAGAAAATGTATTATTTGTAGATAACCAAGTAAATCCTAAATACAAATTTACTTCCATTATTTTACCAATACTCTTTTTTCCACCCGACTCATATATTGTAACGTCTAATTCACGCCATGTTGGTCTAACATCAACGTTGTAGAATGAGTGAACGTTAGCAATTTAAAGTAATGAAAATTACATTGAAGCAATTGACCGAGTTTATATCAAGGTGCGAAGAATTACCTACAACAAATAATTTCCTCTAAGCAAGACAATACATAGAGCGAACATTTAAAGTGTGTAGTTGGTAGTACTGTACTGTATGTATTGTCAAGGCGGATGGCGTTAATGTTGTGTGTTTTGTGTTTACTGATGGCAGGCGATGCGAGTAATGCCAGTATCGGCAGCGGCGAGGGCACGGGCGAGGAGGATGACGACACAGGAGGCAGTGTGTAGTTGGTAGTTGGTAGTACTGTACTGTATGTATTGTCAAGGCGGATGGCGTTAATGTTGTGTGTTTTGTGTTTACTGATGGCAGGCGATGCGAGTAATGCCAGTATCGGCAGCGGCGAGGGCACGGGCGAGGAGGATGACGACACAGGAGGCAGTGTGTAGTTGGTAGTTGGTAATACTGTACTGTATGTATTGTCAAGGCGGATGGCGTTAATGTTGTGTGTTTTGTGTTTACTGATGGCAGGCGATGCGAGTAATGCCAGTATCGGCAGCGGCGAGGGCACGGGCGAGGAGGATGACGACACAGGAGGCAAGAAGAACCAGAAGAAACGAGGAATCTTCCCCAAGGTGGCGACCAACATCCTCAGGGCGTGGCTGTTCCAGCACTTAACGGTAAGTTACACCATACACGCTCTTAACATAACTATGCTAGCTACAGATCAGTAACGCTTTCAGAAAATATATCGAAAATCCAACTAATACATATGCTTTCCCATTATAATCTTACCAAAGAAAACGTTTATTACGCAAAAAGTTTTAAAAGTATTAAATCTTGTAACGTGATATGCCCAATTAGTGCCATGACGTGACAATTTTTCTCAACAGTCAACGCGTGGTTGTCGAATAACAATAACATGTGCAAATCACTTTAAGGTATAGGAAATCCACGTCATCCAAGTAAATGGCAGTGCACAGTTACACCTCAAGTCCATAAATATGCCAATATGGCAAACTTTTATTATGATAAACACTCACTGAGTATTACAGATTGGTATTCCCAATAATTATGATGTGTCTAATATGTTCCAAAGTGAATATTTTCTTATGTGGGGGTGCGCCGCAGTGAGTAGTTTCTATCAATAACACATAAATTGTCGGGCCCGGGCCGTAGGATCCCCTGGGGCCGAGATATGGAGCATTACTCCGAGTTTACGATCACTGTCCGCCAAATCCTCCCGGAAATGTGCTTCGGGGATTTGCACCCCCTTCCGCTTCCTTCGCGCCGCCAAAATATTAACCTCGCCGGAACCCAGGACCGCAGAATTCTCCTTGCCCTTACCTCACCCCGCTTGGACCTTGTCCCTGGTGTGTTGTACACTGTACAGTGTAGAGTTCATCTTCAAATCCTAACTCTATACACTAATACCTTCACTTCCATATACACTACCTACTCGAATGTTTGTAAATTCAATGGCTCATTATAGTAGTTTCTGTTTTGAACATATTTGAAAGTTATGAAAATAAAGGGAAGGTTTTAAGGCGGAACAATGAAAACGATAATGCCTATACAAGAATATACTCGACTCGAACTACTTCAATTTCCACTACCACGACTCCAGATTATGTTTCCACACTATTACTATACAGTGATATATTTTCAAAATGTTATTTTATTTTATTTTAAAGTAGTCTAAATAATATGTAATCAAAACGTTATTACATTGGTGATTAGATTGAAATGTCCATACGTGCTACGACAGTATCGTGTTGTATTATGTCTGTATTGTAGGTTTTATCGCGGGAAACACAGCTCTAGAGTGACAGTAAGATGGCGTTGTAGCGCGTGTAAATCAAAAGCTTACACTGTCGGTCTTATCTCGACAATGGCGGGTCTAACTTGATTATTATTGCCATGGAAACTCCATTTAATTAATATTTTTCCGAAGGGGAGGGAAGGACGAATTGAATGAGGAACTACGGGGCGGGAGGGCGGAAAGCTCCGTGCATTCGCGTTAAAATTACGCAAATTTCTGCGCGAGGGAAGTTTTGAGGAGGGAAGGAAAGCATCTCCTTGTTCCGCGAGGAAAGATTTAATTTCGGTGTAGTATTATTTGCAGCGAGGAAGGGTAACAATTATTCCGCCTTCTGTAGAACATCGCCGCCCAAATTGGATAATGTCTCTCGGCAGTTAAAATTACGAAAATGCCTAAACAACTGACGAGCCGTGACAATTCGTTATGCGCCGCTTTTATTTGATTTTGATTTAACTTAGAGTTCTGACAGTCGTCCGTCCTACAGTTTATACAGTATCACAGCGATATAATAACCAATACAGTACCTCCTCTCGTTAAATACATTAGCTAGCAAGTGTATTTGACCAGGACAGCTCTATATTGTCGACAGCCGTACAAAGCCATTGAATGTCCAGTTAAAACTACTGCTTTGCCGTCAACACCAAAATCATTATGGCGATTCACCATCACGACAACAACGGTGGAAATGACAAGTTATCATTTAGCGTAGCGCAGTACTGTGAAGAGTGCACTATCACTAGGTAATGTAGTGCAATGTAGTATTGCACACATGCGGCTACTGCTCGCTCGTAACTAGTGGCAGATTTAACACCTAGGAACCGACATCTGCTTTTCGTTGGGTTCGAGTCGGAATCGGAGGCTTAATTAACACGACTATAAATAACTCCGAGCGTGGAGCGTGCCAGCAGTCAAATTGGTCGAAATAAAACAAAGCGACACCAGTGAGTTTCTTGAAAGCGTGTTTCGAATCCGATTCTCTCTTGAGACGTTGTTAATTTTGTCGTGGAATTATTTTAGTTCAGTACGAGATTAAGCTGAAGGAGGATAGCCTGGGAAAGTCTTAAGTTACTGTAGAAAGCTATCGGGAAACTTTGTTATCAATTCTACATTATAGAAACGATTTTCATATCAATTAGATACCCGCAATGTAAGTGCACTTGACATGTAAACATAAAGGTGTGGTCTTAACAACTTAAATATTTATTTAGTACTGGGTTACTAGGAACTTAAAAGAAGAAAATACTAAAACGTGTTATATACTAATACAACATTTATCGTATAATTTCAAACTATATTATTTCCGAACAAAAATTGTTTGACACATTATAAGTTATTCAATTTCTACAATAATCTCCATTAGTTAAAATTTTATAGTCTATACATTCTTAAGTTGTATGTCTAAAAAAATGGATTACGCTCAATTATACATTATAAATTTGATTTATTATTTTAAAAAAATTTAATTTTTTTATTTGTCAATATACAAATACGCGTCATTAGAAGCCATGTTTGCCCATTAATCCTCATCTTTGCGTACGCGTTGTTAAACTGGGGCTACTTTTCATCTGTAACCCTTCCATGTGACCATTTCCAACAGTTCCCCAGCTCTACTACCCTTATCCCTAATTAGAGTCTAAATTGAATAATTTCTAAATCTAAAATAGCAGCGATATGGGTTTGTAATAAATTAATTCAGCTTGATCCGTATGTATATGACAATGCGCCTATTGCGGTCATCACCGCACTTAATTAGCCACATGCGGGTTGCGGCATAGGCCGGGTAGATGAAGACGGATTGGCCCTTGAAAGCTTCAGCCCTCCCCGCCAGGATAATGTTAACATATTATGTTACCGCGCTTTCAACCGCGTCCACAATAACAACCCCTGCCATCGACTTGCTTTCTATACTCGCCTCACTCCTCACTCCACAGCACTGTCAACACTGTACGTTGATGGAAAAATATCAACTACCCAGATATTACTGGAGAAATACGTCCTTGAAACATCCTAGAGTGATGCATAAATTACATGCTACGTTGATAGTTACGACGTTGGATTGTGTTCGAGCTGACCACAGTAGACCTCAGCGCTACAGCCAACATTTAGTAACAATCGTCGGCTACACAAGCTCTGTGTGTAAGTATTGCGTTACAACAATGTTCCCGGCTGTCACCAAGACGTGCGCGCGCATACAACAAACTAACTGACTAACTAGTCACGTGTCTCACCTGCAAGTCGTTTAAATAATAAATTAGCGCGATCATGTGTTATTCAAAAGTGTAAAGCTGCGAAAGCTTCTCTGGTTTGCAAGGTATGGGAATGCAGTGTCTGGTGGGTGGTGTGTGGCCAGACCCAAGACCCAGTCCGAGGCTATGATCACTACAGTAGAGTGCAGGGTCTGGTGGGTGGTGTGTGGCGAGACCCAAGACCCAGTCCCAGGCTATTGTCACTACAGTATAGTGCAGGGTCTGGTGGGTGGTGTGTGGCGAGACCCAAGACCCAGTCCCAGGCTATTGTCACTACAGTAGAGTGCAGTGTCTGGTGGGTGGTGTGTGGCGAGACCCAAGACCCAGTCCGAGGCTATGATCACTACAGTAGAGTGCAGGGTCTGGTGGGTGGTGTGTGGCGAGACCCAAGACCCAGTCCTAGGCTAGGGTCACTACAGTAGAGTGCAGTGTCTGGTGGGTGGTGTGTGGCGAGACCCAAGACCCAGTCCCAGGCTATTGTCACTACAGTAGAGTGCAGTGTATGGTGGGTGGTGTGTGGCGAGACCCAAGACCCAGTCCCAGGCTAGGGTCACTACAGTAGAGTGCAGTGTCTGGTGGGTGGTGTGTGGCGAGACCCAAGACCCAGTCCCAGGCTATTGTCACTACAGTAGAGTGCAGTGTATGGTGGGTGGTGTGTGGCGAGACCCAAGACCCAGTCCCAGGCTAGGGTCACTACAGTAGAGTGCAGTGTCTGGTGGGTGGTGTGTGGCGAGACCCAAGACCCAGTCCCAGGCTAGGGTCACTACAGTAGAGTGCAGTGTATGGTGGGTGGTGTGTGGCGAGACCCAAGACCCAGTCCCAGGCTATTGTCACTACAGTAGAGTGCAGTGTATGGTGGGTGGTGTGTGGCGAGACCCAAGACCCAGTCCCAGGCTAGGGTCACTACAGTAGAGTGCAGTGTCTGGTGGGTGGTGTGTGGCGAGACCCAAGACCCAGTCCCAGGCTATTGTCACTACAGTAGAGTGCAGTGTATGGTGGGTGGTGTGTGGCGAGACCCAAGACCCAGTCCCAGGCTAGGGTCACTACAGTAGAGTGCAGTGTCTGGTGGGTGGTGTGTGGCGAGACCCAAGACCCAGTCCCAGGCTTGGGTCACTACAGTAGAGTGCAGTGTATGGTGGGTGGTGTGTGGCGAGACCCAAGACCCAGTCCCAGGCTAGGGTCACTACAGTAGAGTGCAGTGTCTGGTGGGTGGTGTGTGGCGAGACCCAAGACCCAGTCCCAGGCTATTGTCACTACAGTAGAGTGCAGTGTATGGTGGGTGGTGTGTGGCGAGACCCAAGACCCAGTCCCAGGCTAGGGTCACTACAGTAGAGTGCAGTGTCTGGTGGGTGGTGTGTGGCGAGACCCAAGACCCAGTCCCAGGCTAGGGTCACTACAGTAGAGTGCAGTGTCTGGTGGGTGGTGTGTGGCGAGACCCAAGACCCAGTCCCAGGCTTGGGTCACTACAGTAGAGTGCAGTGTATGGTGGGTGGTGTGTGGCGAGACCCAAGACCCAGTCCCAGGCTAGGGTCACTACAGTAGAGTGCAGTGTCTGGTGGGTGGTGTGTGGCGAGACCCAAGACCCAGTCCCAGGCTAGGGTCACTACAGTAG